TCATCTGTCTTCATTTTTTTCCCTCTGCAATGGACTAGACAGAGTTGGCCGTAGACACCCAGAAATGTACATGATGAAAATCCTGTGTCGTTCAATATGCTGTATTTCAGTGCTGTGTCATTGTCTTTTTTTTGTTTTTTCTGTTCAAGTTTGCCCTGTTGATTAAGCAAATTATTTTTCATCTTTTGTATAATATTTGCTTCCGGGAAGTATCATTTAATTTGTAGTGCCTAGAGCCACCGGGGAACAGGTGCTATAGAAGTGATCTTTATTAATATTTTAAAAATTATAATTATTATTGTTATAATTGTTGTTATTATTATTATTATTATTATTATTAGGTACTGGATTTTTATCTCCCAAAACACATCTGAATTTCAGTGATGTAATAATCACTGAGGGGAGATTGGGTGGTAATGCCATATGGCGGGGGAAAACTGTTCAGACTTTCTTTAGTACTTCATTCATCAGAAGCACTTTTGACTGAATTATTTTGCTGTTTTAGCTTGCCTTTAAACTCGCTCCCTGTACAACGCATAAGCTTTGCGGCTGATGTGTGAAGAAATATTTCTTTTGATTTAAAAAATGGATTTATCTATGTTTTGAATTGTTTTCTAAACTGTTTTGGGGAACTTTTATGTCCCCACTAGTTCAAAGTCTGTAGTAACATACTACCATTTCAGAAGTGTGCTCGTTTTTTATGCTGTCTGTCTTTTCTATGCTTTTATTTTTGTAGGATTTTTCTCAGATCATGCTGTGTAAGCACTGGAGGTTTATAGATGTTTAGAATTAGGAAGGAATTGTCACTTTTTCTCTCAATGCACTGTTCCAAGACTGCGTTTATGTGGTCTTGTTCCACAATGATCAATCGCGGAGTCCGAAAAGTAAAGGGCCGAAGTCAAATTTTGCTAAAAGTAAAGTTTTTAATATGACAACACATGTCAGGTGAGACCACATAATGTACAGCATTTGAAGGAACTGTCTGAATGGCTTATATCAGAGTTATGCCCTTTACAAATCACCCAAACTCGTAGTTTATCATGCTTAAGCAGCTGCTTTGTTGGTGGTTGGCGGTAGCAGCTCTGGTGTGTGGTTGCTCCATCTTTCCTATCAAACATCTATATCCCTTATTATCTCTCCTCCTTTTTTTATATGCTTTAATAGTACCAGTAACACCTGTGATTGTTGGTTCTTATATAACCAACTTGTATTGTAACATTTAAGAGCCGTCAATTACAACTTGATAGTCGAAGCAGACTTGTTTGTGCTGTTTTCTGTCGTTCGGGAGTCTGGTTCTTCTCTTATTTATCCACAGGAAGATAAATAAAGAATGTTTCCTTTTGTTTGACGCAAATAACACAAATACCATTCAAGAATAAGCTCCGTGTTACTCTCTTGTTACACCTCAAATTTTCAGCAGTTGTATGACTTAACTGTGTTGCAGGTGGCGTAAAACGTTTACTAAAACAAAACAAAACAAACTCCTATTACGAGGATATAAAAACAATAGGAAACTAGGACTCGGGGTTAACTTTCTTACGTCAAAATGAATAGTTTTCAGCAGCCTGCTTTTGTGTTTGCTCAAATGTTCATTTTACGACAGAGTTGGGTTTTTTAGGATTGTTTTTTTCAGAATATGGGCCTATTGTACATGATGCCTGTGGAAACCAATCAGTGAACACATTGGAGCTTGTACGTTTGGTTTGCCTCCACTCATGATAATTAAGCAGGTACTCTAACCTTTTTTCTTTTTTTTTGCGGAATTGCCGGCATGGTTACTACTTTTCATACATCAGCTACATTTTTTTCTTATTAGTTTTGTTATTTTAGAAGATTTTTTGGTGTTATTTTAGAAGTTTTTTTGAAAAAAGCAGGATTGGTTGTAGTTTTCAAAAGTTGACCACTTTTAGAACTTGTACACTCCTACACAATGTATTATTGTCTGTTTTGATTAAGGCTTTCCTTGCCTTTCAGAGTTTGAGTTCTTTGCGTGGTCTGTTTTGCGTGGAATATGATGCGTGCTTCTCCTGTTGACTCTCTGTGTTTTCTTTTGTTTGCTCCAGACAATTCCATCTAAAAATTTTTTTAAATTTCGAATTGTTTTATCCACAGTTGAATTTTTTTACTCAGCTTGTTTTTGTTGGGGGGTTCTGCATCTTTACTGTTTCGTGTATTCTGTTGAATTGTATAATAACTTATTTTGCACAAATGTACTTTATTACCTTTTTTTATAGCCTCTTGTGCAATTTAGTGTTGTTGTAGCAATGCATTTTGTTACTCATGACCTTGCTTAATCATTACATATATCCCACACGACCGTTATACCCCCCCTTCCCAGCTACTATTTACAGCCCAATGCACTGTACTTAGAATAGTTGCCATCTTATCATTATTATGGTAGTGATTTCTTGCCGTTCTCTTTCCGTTTGCTTGTCGTGTTTTGTTCTTTGCCTTTTCATGTGCCAATGTAGAACTTTATAAGAGACATCGGAAGGGAGAGCGTTTTGTATTTTCTGCCATTGAAAAACAAAGAGAAAAGAAATTGAAATTTCACACAAGTTCATTTGTTGTTTTCTTTTTGAGTGTGTGTGTGTGTGTGTGTGTGTGTGTGTGTGTGTGTGTGTGTGTGTGTGTTTTAACTTGTTTCTTTTAAAATCAACTCATTAGGCATGACTACCTGTCTCTCCTTGTGTCCCATTTTCCCATCCCTCCCTCCCTCTTTCTCTCTCTCCCTCCCTCCCTCTTTCTCTGTCTCCCTCCCTCTCTCTCTCTCTCTCTCTCTCTCTCTCTCTCTCTCTCTCTCTCTCTCTCTCTCTCTCTCTCTCTCACTTGCTCCTTCTTTCACTCTCTCCTTCTCTCTCTCTCGACACTCTCACTATTTCTTTCTCTCTCTATTTCTCTCTCTCTTTCCCCCTCCCTCCTTCTCTACTTTCTCCTCAGTCAAAATCACAGTGTGTATGAGTAAGTATATTGTGTCTGTGTGTGTTTTGAGGGTTTGTATGTTGTTTTTTGTTGGGGGGTTTTTTGTAAGTGTTTTACGGCACTCGCAACTGCATAATAAGCGCATAAATGATGTGAGTGCACGGGACACATTAAACATTTTTCAATTTGTAGGAAATTTTGAATTTTGACCGGTTGGCGGCTGATGTGTACTCTTATCGATTGCATTGTATAAGGGATTTTTAAAATGCGCCACTTGCACACGGGACCTCCGAGATTTGTTTCTCTTATCCAAGAAGGCTAGTTGTTAGATCTTACCTGCTCTAAGATCAAGTGTGTGGATGAAAGACAGCCGTGAGAAGGAGCTGAGGAGTAGCAATATAAAGGCTGCAAAAAGTGACAGCAGTCCAGAGGAAGGGGGAGGGGCAGAAAGTGGAATCGAAAGCACACGACAGAACATGGTTAGAGAGCAGGGAAGGAGGTGACAGGAGAAAATTTTGAAGAAGAAAATAATCTGGCGCTCCCCGGATTCGAACCCGGGACTTATTGAATGAGAGGCAAACACCTTAACCTCAAGACCACGAGAGCCCCTGTGTGTGTGATCAGGTGCATATGCGCGCGCGCGCGCGTGTGTGTGTGTGTGTGTGTGTCTGTATGTGTATCTGTGTGTGGTTGGGTATGTATGCGTGTGTGTGTGTGTGTGTGTGTGTGTGTGTGTGTGTGTGTGTTAGTAATTCCCTGTATTCCCGTCCACGACTCTGATAATCGACATGTTGCCAACTCGTAAACAAATCCCTTTGATGTTCAACAAAAAAGGGTGAATCATATGACAAATCACCACAATAATAATACGCCATTTTTTTAAAAGATAAGACATCCCCACCAGGGCAGTGCTACTGACTGAAGTTGCCTTTAGGCCATTCCCAAAAGGGGGGGAGGGGGTATTAACATGTTCTTACACTCAGTAGAGTTGAAAATAGGCTTATTTATCAATGTCATGCTCATATACTGTGCTGGAACATCATAGGGGGAACTGCTGCTTTTTCTTTTATCCTTACTATCGTCATTTTCCTCTACTTCTTTTGTATGTTTGTCACTCTCTTGTGAACTACTATTTCAGGCGTGCCTCTTGATAGTCAAAGCAGACTTTGTGCAGTTAAGGCTAGAGAGGTGAGCAGTCCGTTTGGACTTCTCTGTTGACATCCACCCCTTGGCGCACATGTGACCTTATGCAGCTGTGAGCGCCGTAAAACCTTACTAAAGCTAACATCCTGTGGACAAGAAGGCATCTGCTTTTTTTCTTTTATGTTGATAGCTTACCAAGACGTTAAATAAATCTGACCAAAGTTTGCGATGAAGTAATAAAGTAAAGGGCGATAAAATAAAATAAACCTACCCACAGTTCAATATCCTCCGGTGAGGGAAGATTTTTAATCGAGTACAATTGTATCTCTGTCTAGATCTATCTGCCGCCATGCTGTATCCGACTCAGACCGGATTGTCCCTGACAGGCAAGGTCAAGGCCGCTTTCTCAAAAATAATCTAATCCTGAGTTTGATTAACGTAAAAAACATTTATAACGATAAAATAAATTGATGTCATACAAAAGTAATACGCGTACAAATTAAAACAATGAGGATTTTATTCAGAGCCAAAAGAGAAGGAGAAACATAATGAAAAGAACATCAACAAAACTTACTCGATAAAATTCTGACTAGAAATATCTATTTTTTAAGAACAGGATCAGACTACCGTGTACTTCATTTAACAAGGAATTGAATAACTCGAAATACTAAATTAGGCAAAAAATCTAATGAAAATACAAATAAACAGGATATCTCTTTAGCGCCCGAGAATCATCGCGCGTTGAAACTACCAGAAACACAAGGTTACTATTACGTCAAGACTGACATCTCTGCCCGTATTTTGTTTACAGTCTTGGAGACAGCCTAGATGAGGCAAGAGAAAAGAATCCTTTAGTAAGATATTCATTCCAGTATTGTTTTGCCCAGAAGACCAGTGATGTTGAAGAGGGTCAAAATACACACGGACTAAGAATCTCATTTGTTAGCGCGGCGTCGGATTTTCATGCTGACGAACTCGACACTGTCATAATAATCTGTGACAGGATACCATGGCAACATTTTAGCATACGTGGTTTCGTGCCAGACACCGTTGAGATATACCTTGAGACAATCAACGTACCACCATCCACCATGATAATACGAAGTACATAAATTTGGGATATTGGAGTTGTCATTGGTAGAAAACACTGCACCGTTGTGAAACGAATAGAAACTGTCGTCTCTGTGGGATCCCAGGTCAAGCCGGAAGTTGTCTTGAACAGGTGCCACGCGAAAAGGGAAATACTTGAAGGTATAGTTCTGGCCTTTGTATAAGAAGTCTATTCTTAGCTCTTGATCACTCTGTGAGGGAAACATACCCATGGCTTATGACTTAAAAAAAAAAGATTGAGAGCATGCGTACTTTAATAACCTTGATCTTGTGGAAAAGTCATCTAAAGGGCGATAACCTTGTACTAAGAATATCGCATACGTTCTAACTTAGCACAAATGGAAACTTTCAACGACTGGATAGATACACAGCTGGTGGGTAAAAACTGTATAATTGTGTCACTATTTCTTTTATTTAAAAGTTGAGCACACATAGCAAATCCCACCATGGTTTAGTCTAGACAGTGAGTCTAGTGGTGTGGTGTGGTGTAAGCATCTGCCTCCAGACGAGCACGAGAAAGTGAGTAGCAAAAGTAAGGGGGTGGTGAGGCAGGGCTGTAAGTTTGTACAGGGTATGTGGACTGCAGGACCCAGTGGACCATCTGACTTTTTAGAGTATTGTCTCAGCACTATGTTGTGTCAGTATTGTGTTGTGTTATTATTCAGTATTTTGTAGTCTTAGTATTGTGTAGTGTCAGTATTGTGTAGTGTCAGTATTGTCTTGTGTCAGTATTGTGTTGTGTTACTACTGTGTTGTTTTATTATTGTCTTGTGTTATTATTGTGTAGTATCAGTATTGTCTTGTGTCAGTATTGTGTTGTGTCAGTATTGTGTTGTGTCAATATTTTGTCGTGTTGTTATTGTATTTTGTTATTATTGTGTTGTGTTATTATTGTGTTGTGTCAGTATTGTGGTGTGTCAGTATTGTGTTGTGTCAGTATTGTGTTGTTATTATTGTGTTGTGTCAGTAATGTGTGGTGTTATTATTGTGTTACTCAGTATTGTGTTGTTATTCTTGTGCTGTGTCATTATTGTGCTGTGTCAGTATTGTGTTGTGTCAGGTTTGTATGTTGTGTCAGTATTGTGTCAATATTGTGTTTTTTCAGTATTGTACTGTCAAAATATTCCTGTGCCAGTTTTATATAGTGTCCGCTTATGCGTTGTGAGAACATTTAGCTAAGTGTATTTAGTTTGGGACAGGACTACGACAAGTTCCCCGTCTTGACTTACACGTCTGGTGAGGTCAGCCATGTCGTCCAGACCAAGCCAATAGTCGCCGTGCGGGTCACCGAAACCCATCCGGTAGTCAGCCCAGGATCTCTCGAAGTCCACACGTCCATTCACTCGCCTCTGTCGGGGGGGGGGGAGGGGAGATAAAATTTATAGGACACACACACACACACACACACACACACACACACACACACACACACATAACATACACACACACACACTCACTCACACTCACACCCTCGGGCGCACATAATAATATACACACATAGATAGATAGATAGATAGATAGATAGATAGATAGATAGATAGATAGATAGATAGATAGATAGATAGATAGATAGATAGATAGATAGATAGGGGGGAGAGAGAGGTGGGGGGAGAGTGTGTGTGTGTGTGTGAATGATTAGCTGCTATATTGATAGTAAATATCCACCCCTCCATCCACTCTGTAAATTCGTAAAGGATGTCTAGTTTAGGGTGGGAGTGGATTTCAGTTTTGAAGACGAACTTGCTCTCTTGCTACGATTTAGAGTTTTAAAAGTGAATGACATTTGTGGAGAAGACTTTCATATTAACATAGATTTAGTGCTTAGAACAAGCGAAAGGGATGGAGTCCGATTTTTCCATGTCCACGATTTGTTTCCATTTTCTTCTCTATTCTGTCAGCTGTAAATGTGATGAGGTCATAACCTCACATGGTGTTGTTTACAAACATGACCCCAGACAGACTGAATAAATGCTGCAAAAAATACATTCTGATATTAGACCAAAATGATGATATGTGGGAATGTCAGGGAAAGCATTTCAGATTCCAGAAAAAAAGGAAAACAAATATTTCTGATTTTTTAACAATCTGGTTGTTTCGTTCTGTATTTGTTTTTTTTCATGTTCTCGATAACAAGAAGCAAAGACAAATCACCTGTCTATATAAAGTAAAAGATAGATAAGATAGACACCGGCTTCCAACAGCCTCATGATGTTGGAGCAGCAGACAGTAGAGGTCAGTAGGTACCTGTATGATTGTCCACCGACCTCCATCGATGGTTCCCTCACAAGGGACTCTCTTGCCATTGGTCCACGTGACCACTTTGTACAGGTCCTGGTTCCCGCGTGCCGTGGACACAGACTCGCAGTCCTTGGGCTGAACAGATAGACACAAGTGTAACAGTTGGTGGTCAGTAGAGGGGACTGGCTAAGTCATTGAGTTGAACACGTACACATGTGTGTAACAAAAGTTTGTATGATTTTATATGTCTGTATCAACGCCATATGAATATGTGGTTTAGACATTCATAGAACGAGTTACTTGCCTGTCAGGACCAACCAAGGATGAACTGATCACAAAATCCCTGCACACATAATGTCATTATAGAGATTCTTGATAAAATAAATTCTACTCTCAGGAAATGAAACTATGAAATTTCTATTTCCATTTTTTTGTGCAAAGTCTCAGAACAAAATTACTACACCATGGACACCAATGTATAAACATATAGTTAAACAACAACAACAACAACAACAACAACAACAACAACAACAACAAAACAAGTGGAAATCAATGTAGTGTAGTGATTATGACGTTGGACTGTACACGAAGACTTGTGTAAAACGATGAGGTTATCTCCCTCCTCCTCTCTCTTTTTCTAAATGAGAAGACGACTGGCGCAGAAAAAGCATCACTCACGCCCCAGTTGCTATCCAGGAAAGCCAAGTAGTTTGGATAGAGCAGAGTCTCCAGGTACTCCTGAAAGCGATGAGAGAAGTTGGCATTGGCCTCTTTCCGCAAACCTTTTATATGTGGCCACAGATCCAGGAAGTCACTATGGGTGTAGAAAGCTGTAAAGGAGAATTAGACGGTTGCTGTACGTGGAAGTTCTATATTTTACGCCCACATTAAGAATGTTACGGCAATTTACGAGCTAAGTTCCTATGACCCAACCAATCCAAGCAGAAAGACAGAGATACTCTAGGAAACATCTCAGGCAGACTTTTGTCGTACGCTTGCAGCACGGAAACATTAAAGCCTAAGAAGCAAGTTCTTTTTTAATATTACACTTTTCGGTAAACAGGAAAGCGATCCCTGCTGTATGTCATTTGATTGAGTAAAGAGAAGCCGATTGACACAATACTGGCAAGTGAATGACATGAAATAGTGAGACAGACAGAGAGTAACAACAAATTAAAGGGAAAGCATGCACTAAAACCTACATGTGACATCCTCCAACCACTCGTAATATCGAACCACGTGTTTTACCAGAATGTTGTAGATTCAACCCCCCCCCCCCCCCCCCCCCACTCCCAAACACACACAAACGTCTTTTCACATAGGCATTGGCATTGACACTCTGACAGTGTTAATCACTATCTCCGTATATTACACTGGTGAAAGTTCACACTTTGGCCGCCTAAAACTTCCGAACCACTTAACTTTCGAATGTGACCAAATTAATGGTGAATCATTTAAAGGGTGCGCAGTTTCATTGAGGAGCCTGAAGTCACAGTAGTTTAATTTTCAGTTTTTTGTTGGTTTCGTTTAGATCTAATCTTGGGAAAGTCCGTCTTCTAAGACGCTATTGTAAACAAGTGAGGTTTCCCTTCACTAGCCGTGCGTACTTATTCCACACTTTTGGAATTATGGAGTGTACAACCACGAAAGCGGAATAGGGAATCAATCTATACATCTATTATATATTTGGCAACTTGGAAAAACACGTGTCACTTTTCTCTCAAGATTTATTGCTCCATTACAGTAGAGTGAAAATATAGTAGGCCAATGACTTTCAGTTGACGTTAATGCACCGATCATTCCTTTCATCGAAAGGGGGCCCAGCTAGTCTTATTATAATGGAGCTAAGCCCGTTTGTGAGGTCAGTATACATTTTTTATACAGGTGCCCATAAAATTTACAAAAATATGAGTCAGTTAAGAATTGTCACAAAGGGTTACGTGGGCATATTTTCAATGTTCGGAAACTACCTTTTGATTTTACAGGTTTGATTTTTTTTCCCAGTACATGAAAGCTCTCAGGTGTCTTTGCTCTGCCATTAGCCATTTTATATTTCACTGGGGACTACTTCCGTTTTGTTTTGTGCTTCGTCGTGAGTGTGAGACAGCTGTTTCTACTATTTCCAGATCTAGAATTTCGATATCCAACTCTGTTTGGATGTGTGCTTCGATGTGTTAATGGATACTTCAACCCAAACTTCATTGAATTGACTCTCTCTCTCTCTCTCTCTCTCTCTCTCTCTCTCTCTCTCTCTCTCTCTCTCTCTCTCTCTCTCTCTCTCTCTCTCTCTCTCTCTCTCTCTCTCTCTCTCTCTCTCTCTCCCTCTCCTCCACTTTCTCTCTCTCTCATTCGCTAATTGGCTTTGATTCTTTGAGGATAGTCAACTGTTCGTATTTCTCCACAGCCATTCCTTTGTTGCCATTGTAAGCACATACAGATGACAGATACCTTGGAAGCACTGTCGTCTCTAACCATCAACGCTGCCCATGTTGTTGCTATAGAGCAGTGCTTGCTAACCAGTTGGATTTCTCTCACGCGGGGGCTATAATTTGGTGACTTTGGTTGGGGTGGGTATTGACATGTATTATTTAATGCCCCGCTTTGAAAAAACGTTGCACGTGCAGATGGATAGTACTGTACAAAAATGTTAGCCTCTTAAAGGTGACAAAAGGGGCCGCTCGCTATAAACAGGCTGGCAAGCTCTGTTTTGTTTTGTTTGTTTAGTATAGGGTTTTACGGCGCTCGCAACTGCATAAGGCCATACGAGAGCTAAGGGATGGATGTCAGCAGAGAAGTCCTTACAGGGAAGCAGGCTTACTCTGTTCACCTTTCTAGCTTCAACAGCACAAAGTCTGCTTCGACTATCAAGGCACCCCGGGAATAACGAGTCACAAGAGTGAGACAAACAAAAGAAGTAGAGGGAAAATGACGATAGCAAAGATTAGGAAAGAAAAGGCTGCAGTTCCCTGTTGCAGTTCAGAGACAGATATGAGCATGACATATTTGAATCAGCCCGTTTACAATTCTACCTCCTTCGGGAACGGCCTAAAGACACTTCAGTCACGAAGGGGGAGGGGGATATTCAAATCTATGCTGCACAGTTAGTAGAGAGCAATGGCGTCTGTGGCGTAATGAGTAAGCTCTTCGCCATTCCACGCCAAGGGCGTGAATTCAATTTTCTTATCGTGAAGACTAGGTTTTTTTATCGAGCATCTCCGTTTATCTTAAGGGTTGCCAGTCTTGCTTAGCCCTAGTTCAAAAGCAGATTCAAGCCTCCAAAATGATCGTAAATGTGTTGTTTGATACAGTTCAGAACAGTTACAGAGCCAACCCCTCCCCCCTTCCACACCCCCTTCCACCCCCTCCC